CGAACATGCATTTAATTCCCTAAACCCTAAACCCCTGATTCACCTTGAAGCCAGTGTCATGACTTGCGGCTAGACATAGCCAGACAGGACATTGCATTGACACTGACTAAACCTTTATCCCCAGATCCCTCACTAAATCCGACGCAAGCAGTGAGGGCGGGAACAGATCCCCCTAAACCCTGAACCCTAAACCCTAAACCCTAAACCCTAAACCCTAAACCCTAAACCCTAAACCGAAACTTCAAGGCTTCGATGTTGAACCCTCAACCCGAAGAGTTATAACTGAAACCCGAAAACCGAAACCTGTGCCTCGGACCCCAAGAAACATTGCCAAAAGCATAATGGGTTTAGGGTTTAGGGTTTAGGGTTTAGGGTTTAGGGTTTAGGGTTTAGGGTTTAGGGTTTAGGGTTAACCCTAAAACTGCCGAACCCTAGACCGTAACCCCAACATCGCTTAATAACCTAAACTAACTTCTGAAGAAAAGGGAAGCCGCTCCAGCATTTCTATACGGGCTACCTTTTAGGGGTTCTGTAAGATCTACTCTCTAAACCCTAAACCCTACTTTACTAGTTCCTACGTCCTAATGTCTAAACTCTAAACATTATATTTGCCCTATATGACTCTTGATCTGTAAACCCTAAACCCGAATTCCTAAACCCTACTCTACTAGTTCCTACTTCCTGATTCCTAGACCCCTGAATTTAACTCTTAATTTGTAAACCCTGAATTCCTGAACCCTAAACCCTAAACCCTAAACTAAGCCTACAAGAGTTTCTGGGCGGACTACTTCTTGGCTGTCCGAACCCTGCCAGGCGGCGCATGGAAGGCCACTGCGGCCTTGTTGCCGCAGTCCACTCCTAAGCAGGGTGAGGGTCTAGGGTCTAGGGGTTTAGGGCTCAGGCCTTCGGGTTTAGGGTTTAGGGTCGAGGGCTTCGGGTTTCGGGTTTCGGGTTTTAGAGCTTAGGAGCCTTAATCAGCAGAACATATATTTGGGAGAATAATCGACTATTGCTATGATGGGAACCATGGGAATAACAGTGGTAACTGCTCAGGACCTGTAGTAGAGCTTTGGGCGTGGAGTTCAGGGTTGATGGCATTGGGCTCAGGGTCTGGAGTGTGGCTTCGGATCTCTATGGTTTGTGGGTGAACGGTTTAGGGCGTAGGGTTTATAGTTCAGGGTTTAGGTGTGTTTCCGGTTTTGGGGTTTAAGGCTTTTGGCTTATGTTTCAGGGTTCAGGGCTACCTTCAGGCTCAGGGGTCAGGGCTTCGGACTTCGGGTCCGACATCCCCGAATCTTAGACCGGGTGCACCTGTGAGCATTGGACGGGCTTTGTCATCTGCCATACGGGTGCTACCGCACGGCGTTATGAACGAACCTGTAGGCTTCCATATGGGAGTTTCCCTTATTTTGGGGGTCCTTATAGTCCTTATAATAAGGGTCCTACTATTTAGGGTACTATGTTAGGGTCCCCTATTTTCGGAAACTCCCATGTTAGAGTACTTGCACGTGCTGTATACGGGGCAACATAGAAATGGCACAAGTAAAATCTTCGCAACAGTGAGCCCAAATCCTAAACTGCATCTCTGTACAGGGTTACAATCCCTAAACCCTAAACCCCAAACCCCCAACCCTAAACCCTGAACCCTCAAACCCTTAAACCCTTAAACCCTAAACCCTAAACCCTAAACCCTAAGGGGTTTCTCTCAGGTCACTATTCTGACAGCCCAAAACTCCAAAACCTCCCAGGCTCAGCGCCCGGCCCCAGCAGCGTTCATCGTGCAAGAAGTTGCCATAGTCAGGTTGGGCCTGGACCTCAGGTTTAGGGTTTAGGGTTTAGCGTTTAGGGTTTAGGGGTTAGGCTTGAGGGTTTATAGGATTTTGGGGTATAGTACCGTATACTTTTAGTAAGGAAACCCCCAAAATCCTATTCTGATTATTAAGGCCCCCAAACCCTAAACCCTTATAGTAGCCCCCATAGTATCCCTTAAGGGAACCCTTAAAGGGAGCCCCAAATCTAACTATTGAGGCCCCCAAACCCTAAACCCTTATTGTAGCCCCCATAGTATCCCTTTGGGGAACCCTTAAAGGGAGCTCCAAAACCCCATTCTAATTATTAGGGCCCTAAACCCTAAACCCTAGACCCTGAACCCAAAGTCCTAAACCCTAAACCCTAAACCCAAAGTCCTAAACCCTAAAACCTAAACCCTATTCTGATTATTAAGGCCCCCTAGATTAAGCAGAGCAGCGCCCAGGATCTCCAAGCAGGTGCCCATGTACCTGAGCTCGGTGGATTTTGCTCGGGGTTTTAGGGTTTTGGGTTTAGGCTTTAGGCTTCAGGGTTTAGGCTTTAGGGTTTAGGCTTTAGGCTTTAGAGTTTAGGGTTTAGGCTTTAGGCTTTAGGGTTTAGGCTTCATGGTTTAGGCTTTCCGTGCTTCCGTGGGGTCCTTTAGGGTTTTATGAGGCTTTGGTTGGAGGTTATATCACGGCTCTATAAGGTCTAACGGATTCAGGATGAAGGCTTGAAGTTTTCGGGGTGAGGGAAGGGGGACATGAGTATCAGAACAATCGAACTCCAATCGTGGTTAACAGAATACTCAAACTGTCATGGCGATCCTAAAAGTATTCATATGTTTCAACAACTCGTAGAAGTCGCAAGCCACCGACGTCGTCACTTGCCTTCCGTCTGTCCTTTACTCCCCACGAACAGAAAGCATTTGTAAGAGGAACATAGAACTCCTGCTACGATGCCCGCAAGGCCTAAAGCCTCAATCCTAAACCTCAAACCCTAGACGTCCCTAAACCCAAAACCCTAAACTCACAGTGATTTACACAAAGACTCCCGTGAGAGCCCTTAGACAGCCTGGCAGGACCCTACCCAGCAACCTTCCAAAAGCACCTGAAGCCTTAATCCTAAAACTCCCGAACTCAAAACTCGTAATCCCAAAACCCCCGAATCCAAAGCCGTTAAACCCGAAGCTCCCCTAAATTCCTGAAGCTTTTGGTAACTGTTGAATTTCTAGCCCGTTGAATCCGACACTTTTCATCCGAAGTCCTAACGCTGAAAGAAGCCCTACAAAGGACCCGAAAAAAGAGTCCTAGCTCAGCTCTGAGCTTGTCTTCACCTTGGCTGACAGGGACGCCAGGAACAAGCTGAGGAGATTCGTGGGTTTTTTTGTTAGGGGCTTAGGGTTTAGGGTTTAGGGTTTAGGGTTTAGGGCTTGGTGGGTTTAGGCTTTAGGCTTTGGAGTTTAGGGTTTGAGGTTTAGGGGTTTAGGGTTTAGGGTCTAGGATGAAGCCTGTGTAAAAAGGGTTTAAGGTTTAGGGTTTAGGGGGGGGACACTTGA